AGTGTGGGCTCCAAGGCCCAAGTCCCCAAGTCTTCCTCTTTGATGCACTTCTTTTTCTCTGACCCAGCTGGTTCATGTCTAACTCATTCAATTGTTGGTTCAAGAATATTTTTTGCTGTAGAACCTGGGAGTATTTCTTAGTCCATAGCTGCTTGGGCTGGGATTGTTTTATTCCTGTACTGTGTCCTGATTCTCCTTTATGATAGAAATTTTCCTCAGGGCCCACAACTGCTGCTTCAATTGTGGTTGGTTCTTTTCTCCCTGCAAGACCTGTTTGAGGACTGAGATTTGGCTTGCCTATCTGGAAGTTCTCATTTCCAGGCTTAATCTTGTGTTGCTGGAAACAGTCCCTCCATAGTTCAACACGTTCTCTTCTCTGGGCTTTTTTCTTTTTTTTCTTTTCGGGTACGATATTCCAGAAAGGATTTTTTCATCCTGGACAAAAAACTTCCTTGTACCTAATTCGAGTTTCTATGTTATCATTGTTCAGCTTCTCTTGTTGCCATCTTCCCGTTAGCCTGTTCTCCCTCTAGGATAACTTGGTAACATCTGTTTAATACAGGGAGATAAGATGCAGCCTGGGGAGGGAAGAACTGCAAGTCTCAGACAACTTGAAGTTAGAACAAATCAGACATTCCTTTATCAGTTTTAGTCACAATTTAGGAAGCTATTTTGTTTATTTTCTGTGGCCCTGGGGATTGAATGCACGGCCTTCCGGCTGAGCTACGTGCCCAATCCCTTTTCCCAGTATATTTTATTTTCACACACAGTCTCACCAGGATTCATGGCTGGGCTCCAGTTTCCAATCCTCCCACTTGACCTCCCCACAGTGTAGGTTACAGAGATGTGCCACCACGCTATGCTAGGAAAGAATTTTGTTTTTGTCCTTTCACGTTTTTATTAAACATAAGGCTGGTACTAGACCTTTTTTGTTTACTGCATAAACATTAACTCCCTTTATTAGAGAAATTGTACACATTGGTAAATATGATCAATGGTCACATCTATGGGTTATTTAAAACTCAAGAGTCAATAACTGACATTCTGCATTCTCTTCGTTACATTGTGAAGTGTCTTGTGCAGTCATTGTCGGAATGACAGCTTGTACAAATTTCAAAAAAATTAGAAGATGCACATGAACACCAAGCTCTCCCCCTCCTGCATCTGCCTCATGATTTTCTTCATCACTTCAGCATGCCTGCAAGGGTGAACGGAACCCGTAGGAGGTGGTGGGAGCTGAGGGTCATTTTCAGTGGTCGCTGTTTTCTTCACATGATCTTGACTGATGTCTTCATACATGCGCTCACCTGTTAAAGGTTATCTTTGCGCATTGTAGCCAAACAACCCTAGTCATGATGTCTGGTAATACTTATCAGAAGTGATGTGTGAGTCGCAAGTTCTGGTCTGTAAAGTAGCATCTTCACTTCCTGCATCAGTTTTAACTTTACAAGTTTCTATTTTCCTTGTATCTTGAGTAGCCTCATCTGTTTCCAACAATCCACTTTCTTATTCTCCCGTGTCTGCAGCTTCTCTCCTTCCCCTCCCTCCTCCCCTCCCCGTTTTATACTGTTCTTGTTCTCCAGCGTAATCTCCTTAACTGCTTCAGTTGTTCCTGCAGTACCTGTGTTGTGATAATTATCTACCCACCCCGGTCACCATCATCTTCGATGACAGCTTTGAGTTCATCTGAATATTCCGTTTGCAGCTTTTGTAGCATGACACATTTTTGGTTACCAAAATTTGTTTGCCTGTTGGTAGGCATGTTTTCACTGTTAATTCTTCCTACTGCCATGTTGGACAGTGATGGACTAAATGATCTCCAGCTGCCACAAACTCTTCTGGGGTGATTACAAAATGCAAGTTTCCTTACATTTTGATTCCTTGAAGACCGGGGATCAGGTACTCAGCCACTTCCAGTGCCTCTCCCTTCACTGTGTTAATCACATTCTGCATCCTGGGGCCCGAGCCGCGGCAGGCCCCCTGATACGGTAGGGAGGGCAGCAGCTGACAGGGACCGGGGAGTCCAGAACTGTTCTTGATGCAGACGATTTGCATCGGCGCCGCCTGGTGGCACACGGAGGGACTGCTCCGGATGGGACGCCGCGGGCCCAGCAGTCACCCCGGCGGCAAGGGACGGTGGCTGGGCCCAGGGGAGAGCTGGGGGGACAGGCGGGAGCACACGCACCCCTTGCCTGATTGGGAGCTGTCTGTTCCGTTTTGCTTCACTCACCGGAAATAGTTTCTTAAATGCACTGTCGTCCTTAATGGACCCCAAAATTCTTTCGAGCATATATTACACTCCAGAAACTGCCAGGCACAGGAAAAGAGCTAGGCTTCCCACATACACTGCATTCCCTGCAACTTTGAGCAATGCGATCTCTGTATTCCAAAGGAGAAAACCGGCTCAGAATCTTGAAGTACACGACAGAACCCCGTTACAAGCGGCAGTCAGTCTGGGTGTGAGACTCAGTGTGTATGACACAGATTCTACTCCAGCAGCTACGAAGGGCGGCGGAAACAGACAGGGTGGTTCTTCCGGGCTCGGTGAGCACCTTTCCCACGTTTCCGAGACCCTCTCCGCGGGGCTGGAGCGCGCCCTCAGGACTTACACGCTCTCGGGATCTAGGCGCCCGCTAGCGCAACTCTGCAGGTCACCGAGGGTGACGACCGAGGAGCAGACGCTGGCGGCAGGGCTCGGCCTCTCTCGGGCACAGAGTCCAGATGCGGTCACTTCCCACCAGGGTGTCCCAACGCTTCTGCGGGATGCAGGGCGTCCGGAGGCCGCACACCGCCCCAGTACTGACCCGTGCAGCTCTCAGCTGTTCAGCCCACAGCTATTACCGACTCATTTTAGTTTCATACATGTTATGCATGGGTCCTGAGGACCCATAAGTTTAACTTTTTATATAAGTAGAAGAATGCTAAATTTGTATTTGTAAACATACTAGGTAAGTATTTGTAACTTAAAATTAATTTTCAAAACAGGACAAAGTTTCTTTCTTCTTCTTCTTTTTTTTTTTTTTTGGAGACAGGGTCTCACTATGTTGTTGAGACTGACCTGGATCTCACTATGTAGCCCAGGCTGGTCTTGAACTCACAGCGATCTTCCGGAGTGCTGGGATTACAGGCGTGCACTACCACGCCTGGCCCAGGACAAAGTTTCTTACTGCACTGACTACAAAGTGGCATGATACAAGTATCACTTTGTGTGTGTGTGTGTGTGTATTTGTTTATTTTTGTACCCGGGATCGACTCTGGTCCTTATGCTTGGGAGACAGGTGGCGGAACCACTGAGATAAATTTCCAGCTACTTTGGACAGCAGTTTTCCATCTTTGCTGTTGGGGCATATGGGACATCTTTTTCTTTTGTCAGTAGGTTGTCTGGGCTCTTCTATAATGGGAATCTCCAGTCCCAGGATTTGTGCTATAAGTTTTTGAACTTTTATGGGCACTTTTTAAGCAGTCATTCCAGAATGTAGACTTTCCTCAGTCAACAGCATCCCAGGGGTTTTATTAAAATCAGAAGAATGTTTCATTATTTCACCTCCTTGTACAAGTTGGTACAATACATGGGAGTTAACACCTGTGACATTTAAAATGGCATAAAAAATTGCCCTTGGTCAACAGTGGGTTCTCTTGAAGGGTGAGCAAAATGCACATTTTCTACCTAAAGTGACCACTCCAGATTTTGTGTCATAAAAGTGAATAATTTCAGGCTTTTGAGTTTGTCAACAGGACCACGGTGGTGCATACTTGATATTAATATGACACTTACTTTTTTTTTGGTATATAGGAAACTAATGTGATAGCAGAAAATCCAGATACTGATGACTGAAGTTTATTTTCTATTTGGTAAAAATTGAAGCGGTACAGCTCTCTTTATTTTCTGTCAAAGTTCCTACAAAGTCAACAAGTTTTTTTTTTTAGGTTCATCAAGAAGTTCCAGTGAGCCATTCTAGTTGTTACTGGTAGTATTTCTTTCAGTACCTTCAATACATTTCACAAGCCCAAGAACAACTCTTGTAGGATTCAATAAGGTGGGTTCGGTTGGATTAGCTGTCTTTACTTCAGCACCAGCATATATTTCTGCATTTAGCATATAATGAGTCTTAGCATCAGCTAAAATTGGCACCTTTATGCCATAGTTAGCTGGTTGTTAGGAATAAACATTCTAAAACCACATCTTCCTTGAAATGGTACTGGTATGTAACAGTTAGGGGACGTCAAGGAGAATAACGTGACTTTGACGTGCATAAGAATTCATCAAATAAATCGGAGACTGCAGCTTAGTTATTTGACTCTTTTGTAGTTTCGACATTATCAAATCTAAGGCAACGAACATACTAAAATTGAAAATCGAGCCAGACTCATAGTAGCGTGAAAAATGGGTCTTCCTGTTCCATCTGTTGCCCACATTGAGCAGTACTGTATTTTCGTGGTTTGACTTAAAAACAGTAAAAAAACTACAAAAAGCGCTTTGACCCAGGGAAAAAAGTGGTATTGTATTTACTACCGATGGGGCCCCATATATTCTTCCCTGCAGAATCCGTGCGGGCTGGATTAAGTACTCCTAGCGGTGGGGGAGGACTACAGAAACGCTGAATAAGCAATGTTGACACATTAAGAAAACACAACACTTTGAAAAAAAGCGTCTGGTCCTTTCTATAGTAGCTGCGAATTACTCGGCTGACAAAGGAGCCCTAGTGGCCGGCCCTCCTTCAGCTCTCTGGGGAGGGTGCGAGCTCGCCCGAGCTGGGGATCCCATCCCATCGGGCTCCCTGATGACCACACAGGTTCCTGTCCCTCGCGGGTTCTAGACCCTGAGGGTCGCGTCCTCTTGCGGGCTATTTATACTCCTCCTCTCCCTTTTCCAGGCCATTTCCCAACCAATGTCACATCCTGGCCACAGTGGGGTCAGCCCCACAGAAGGCGCCACCTGGCGTCCCCACTACTGCGTCGTCCTGGGTTACGGCCGTCTGAAGGAAGCGGAAGTCTCTCTAGCCGGGAGGCGTCTCTATGGTGATGGGGGCGGGCCTGGTGGGAAGATGGCGGCAGCGGGGAGTCAGTCTGAGCTCCCGAGTTCGGGACCTCCGCGGCCTTCCGTGTGTCTGTTGGTTTTGGGAATGGCAGGATCCGGGAAAACCACCTTTGTACAGGTGACGTGAACAGCCAGGGCGTAGTAGGGTGCGCGAGAGGTTGTTTTCGGCGGGCGAAAGGACAGGCAGCAAGGGTAGGAGGGTCTGTCTGGGGAGTTGCAGCGTGCAGGCTTCTAGCGTTTGGGGGCTTCTTATCAACTCACTTCCTCCGTGTGTGAAGTCTTGGGCCCTACAAGGGTCAACGAAGGCTGTGCGTTGCGCCTCCTCACTGCTTGCTTTGAACACTTGGCCCTGTTGTATTAATTCTTGTCGCTGGTAAAATTGCCTGCTGGTTGAAGCCTGGGGCTTATAGTAATTCTATAGATCGGACAACGCGGCCCACAGGTTTTCGGGGAAGAGTTGCCAAAGAGTTATTTCTTCCGTGCCTATCATGTAAGCCCTGGAGATTCAACGCAAGTGATGTGGACAAGTTTCTGGCAGTCGTGGAGTTAACATTTTAGTGAAAGAAATAGAAAAAAAAATCCATAGGAAGTTAGATAAATTATCTAGGGTAGAGGAGGCTCAGTTAGATGGGTGATGAAGACAGGGAGCATTTAAACTTAGTTGAGTGTAGACACAGCCAGTAGATATGTTAAGTAGAAGGAAATAGTGCCAGAGTCTTCAATCATGAAGGGATAAGAGTTTCCTCCGATCCCCTTATCATTCCTTTTCGTCTTTGCAACTCCTCATATTTCTGCAGAGACTCACAGGACACCTCCATACCCACAGCTCTCCGCCTTATGTGATCAACCTGGACCCAGCTGTACATGAAGTTCCCTTTCCTGCCAATATTGGTGAGTCGCATGCCCTAGAACTCATGAGAAGTGCTGCAAACAGAATGGAAACCCTAAATCTTGGCAATCTTCAGGGCCTGCAGTTATTCATTTTCGTTTTTTCACAAATTGCCTACTTTGATTTCGTTTGGATTTGCTGGAGTGCTTAAACAGGCTTCATACTTATTCCCATTTCTCTCTTTACTGCCCTGTCACTTTCCTGCATTATGTTGTGGCATTCCCATTTACCCTTATTTCTTTTCTTTCTGAACCTAGTATGTAAAATTATTGTAATTTGGGAACGTGGAGTAAGAGGAAGTCTTAATCCAGGCCATAAACCCAGTATCTAGGCCATAAACTTATCAGCCAACTTTGATTCATAAGTTTGTTTCCTTTCTCAAGAGTTTGTCAGAGAATAAGGTTCTTCTGCCATAGTTCACTGGCTGATCTGTCAAAACCCTGCTTTCACTCTCAAAATTACATGGGAAAATTTGTGTGCATGTGGATGTTTGCCTTGTTTTAAGGAGAGGTTCTCAATATGAATCAGACTTGAGTTTGTAACTCTAAAAATTATTAAAAATGAGTATGTTTCCAGTGTCAGGATTTGTTTGTTTGTTTGTTTGTTTTGAGACAGGGTCTCACTGTGTAGTTCAGAACTCACTGGAACTCACTGTGTAGCCCAGGCTGATCTCCTGCCTCAGCCTCCCAAGTGCTCGATTTATAGGCGTGTGCCACCACGCCCGGCCAGTGTTAGGATACTTGGTAGGATCCAAGCCTCTTGGATTTCAGGCCATCACTGTGTGCTAATCATTTCCTTTCTATTCCTTTTTTATTCTATTAATCTTCCCCATGACATAGTAATAAAAGGAAGACCTTTCTTTCTTTCTTTTTTTTTTTTTTTTAAGACAAGGCCTCACTATGTAGTTCATGTTGGCCTTGAACTCACTGTGTATCCCAGACTGGTCTCAAACTCATGACAATCTTCCTGCCTCAGCCTCCCAAGTGCTGGGACTACAGGTGTGCATCACCATATCTGGCAATATAAGGAAGGAATTATTATTATTTATTTTTAGGAAGAAATTATTAAGCAGGCATTATCATGAGATGAGTTTGAGAAAATATTTCCCATGTTCTTACTTTGTTATACTTACACAAGAGATTATAGAGAATTGCCAACACTGAGCCAAATTTGAGTGCTTTATTGCTGGCAGTTGAGTGGGTAGCACTTGAAATCTCTGGACTCCGAAAGCGGCTTTCGGGTTACTTTTAAGTAACTCTTCTAGTTGGGGCGGGCTGAGGGAGAGGGGGAAAGCAAGTGGAATTTTACAGAAGCAGAACTTTCTAAGTTAGTGGGGGTCGGGAAGTGTCACACAGTTTAGTTGAAACAAAATATCACACAGGTGACAGGTGCGGAGTATTCTGTTCACAAGGTCATAAAGCTAACATATAGCTGCATACCCTTCTACTAAATGGGAAGGTCATAAAGATAACACACAGCTACAGACTGCTCTACCAGATGGGATGTGGTGGTCTGTCATACATCAATCGAGGGGACTCCCGAGGTGGGGAGAGGCAGGAGACCCCCTGAAGTCATTCCACTTTGCACAAAATGGAGGGGGAACAGTGATGAGGCACAAAATAGAGCCAGGTCGGCTCTCAGAACTTAAACGATGGAATTTTAATAGTTGATGAGGGATTCCCTACAGACTAGTGGATAGGTTTAGGTAAATAATACTGGACAATTTTTTTTTTTTTTTTAAATACTGTGGGTGAACCCAGGGCCTTCACACTGAGCTACATTCCCAACTTTTAAAAAAATATTTTATTTTGAAACAAGGCCTTGCTAAGTTGCACAGGATGGGCTCAAACTTCTGTGATCCTTCCAGAGTGCTGGGATTACAGGCCTGTACCACCATGGCCAGCTCAGATTTTTAAGAAGCCTGGGCCAGGGATGAAGCTCAGTGGCATAGCACCTGCCTGGCAAGTATGAAGTCCTGAGTTCAATTCCTAGTACTAAAAAAAAAAAAGAAGCCTGTTTGTCTTGGGTTTATCACCAGGATGAAAGTAGTAAGAAATAGGTCTTTTGTTCCTGATTTTTTTCCCTGCCTTTCTGTGCCGATAGCCTCTGATAACTTAGGTTGTATGACAGCTTTCACCTTGTTTCATCATTGTCTTCACCATAACTGTAGTATTCTTAGCCTAACAAGGTTCATGGGTTTCTTGGCAGTTATCTTGTATATGGAGGGAAACCAGTGGAAAGATGATGAAGTGAACAGAAGAGTATTCTGGCAAGAAAAGCATAATAGATTAGTTTTAATTTTTCGCTGGCAGGGACAGTGGTTATAGGATACCTTTTATCCCTCTTTCTCCTCATGGTCTTCCTTTTTCTATCACAATTCAAAGAACTTTGCTTAAAATTTTTTTTTTTTAGAAAACCAATATGAAGCTGGGAGTAGTGGTGCATACCTATAATCCCAGCAGTTGGGAGGCTGAGGCAGGAGAATCACCACGAGTTTGAGGCCAGCTTAGGCTACATAGTGAGTTCAAGGCCAGTCTGTACTACATAGCGAAGCCCATCTCAAAAAAAAAAGAAAGAAAACCAATATGAAAAAGAATTCTGATACCAAGAATGGAAACTTCCTGTTCTGCACTTGAGAGGCCTGTTGGCTTAGGACACTAAAGTCTGAAATTATTTTTTCCTTATGTGTTAGGATCTAATTAATTCTTTTTTTTTTTCAGATATTCGTGACACTGTGAAATATAAAGAAGTCATGAAACAGTATCCTTTTCAATGTCTACTACAGTTGTCTCTTTGAGAGTATTTTTGCCTTCGCTGTTTAAATACATAAGCAAGGGCTGGGGATTTAGCTCAGTGGTTCTGTCACCTGCCTCACAAGTGCAAGGTCCTAAGTTCGATCCCCATTACAAAACACATACACACACACACACACACATGAGTATTGATGGAAGTAATTTTCTTAGGAGAATGTTAGATGAATGGAGGTGAGGTATTACAATGATCAGAAATATTTAGTTGTGATGTTTTCTTTTTTTTTTTTTCCTTTTTTGGCTTTTTGAGACAGGGTCTCACTATGTATTTGAGACTGACCTGGAACTCACTATGTAGCCCAGGCTGGTCTCAAACTCACAGTGATCCTCCTGCCTCAGCCTCCCGAGTGAGTGCTGGGATTACAGACGTGTGCCACCACACCTGGCTTTGTGATCTTTTTTCTTACTATGTCCCTCAGCCATAGATTGTTGTCAGTAGTTCATTAGGAAAAATGAGAGGCTTGCTCACCGCTGCTTGGGTCCCACAGTGTAGTATTGCCTTGGAGAATTGACATAGTCTTTGATTATTACCTTTTCACACAGGGAGACTTGGAATGAGTATGTGTAGTTAGATTAATCAGTGCATTCTTGTGTGACGTGTGCTCTCCGTGTAGGCAAATTAGTCATTAATTCTAATCAGGTTGCTTGATTGTTAATGATGAGAGCAGGGAGGGTTATATAGCTGATTATAATGGTTAAAGCCCGTAGGCTGTCACTGCTTAATACATTTGTAAATTATATTTTGGTCACTTTGGTTTTTTCATCTTGTCTAGCCATCCCTAAAGTGATAACTGAGTAAGAAAGATCTTGACAGTTAATGAATTCCTTTGAGGCTAAAGTTTTGTCTTACTGTCAAGGATTAGGTTGTGCCTGTGTCTGCTAATGGAACACTAGTCTAATGCTATTGGGTGACTAGTACCGTAGGGGTGAACTTTACCTCCGGTCTATCAAGTGTAAATCCTTGACTCAGTGCGTAGATATGGACTTGGGCCCAATGGTGGCATCGTGACCTCGCTGAATCTCTTTGCTACCAGATTTGATCAGGTACATCTGTCTTTATGTTTACGTGTGGCTATATAGAAATGTGACTCCTCATGCCTTGGCCTCATCACATGTGTAAAGAAGAGCAGCAAACATGAGCAGAAATAGAGAAAAGAAGTAGGCATCTTGGTAGAAAGAGGAGACTATGAGAAGATGGTCAGCGTTGTGAGACAGCTATTATTTACTCTGTGACAGCCAGCAAAAGAAGGCAAGAGCTCTAGGTCCTTTTTTCATATGGGCTTGTGGTTTTATCTGAGGCTGTGTTGGGGAGCCGGGCGTGGGATGGCCTGGCAGGCATAGAAAGGACACTTCTTCCTTGTGATCAATACTTGTCATCCTGTAGGTTTTCTCTGTCACCTGCTTCCATAGTTTTTGCCCATGGTGCCACTCCGTGACTGTTTACACTCACCAGAGCCACTTGTGATAGCAATGCATCGCTAAAGTCCCTGCTACTCAGGAGGCTGATGAAGGGGACTCACTTGAGCCTAGGTCTTAAAAAAAAAGAAAAGAAAAAAGAAAGGAAAATTTTCATCAGAGCACCGAAAGGTTTTACCTCAGGGTGACAAGTTAAGGTTTGAGCACTGCAGGTCCTTGCAGTGTTGCCAAGGAAGTTGCAGGGCTACTGGTGTGACTGCTGTGCCTCTTTGGCTCAGTGAGTTTTTCAGTCATTGTCCTTGTTTGTGAACATAGTAGGTGACAGTGCCTTGAAGGCAAGCCACCCTAGAGTGAGTTTTTAGTGACCATAGATCCTGTTGTAACTGGCATCTTTTTCTTTTAGGTGATGAAATTTATTGAGAAAGCCCAGAACACTTCTAAGTAAGTCTGAGTCATGTCAAGTCTAACTCATGTCAGTTAAAAACCTGTTTTTTTTTTTTTTTGGTATCGGGGATCGAACTCAGGACCTTGTGCTCGTGAAGCAGGTGGCAGAACCACTGAGCTAAATCCCTGGTGAATACCTGTTTCTTATTCTGCACCTTTCTAGGCCTTTGATAGGTTTGGGGTTTCACTAAGACTGGAAAGGGTGTTGCCTGAGGTGAAGCCTATAGAAGTAATAAAAAGTAAATGACAAAAATCATTAAGATGCTATCTAGTACAGAGCTGAAGTTAGTATTGCCCACCCCTAATTACTGCGACTGCCAATTTACATGACTTCTTTGGGGGTATCGTTTTGTTTTGCTTTTTGAGTCAAGGTCTCAGTATATAATTCAGTCTGGTCTTGAACTCACTATGTAGCCCAGGGCCTCAACTTGCAGTGGTCCTCCTGCCTCAGCCTCCTGAGTGCTGGGATTACAAGTGTGCTCCACCACACCCAGCTCTGGAGGTATCTTGAGATGTCCAGATTCTCATGTCTACCAGCCTTCACTTGGGAAGCTGTTTATTGGCATTAAAAGCCTCTTGAATATCTTTCTAATCCTTGTTTGGCTGAATATAATTTACACGATTCAGAGAAAATAGTTTTTCAATTTGAAAAGTAGCAAAATGTAAAGTATTATCTATATGTAGCTATTTTTTAATAGGTTTACTTTTTCTCTAAGAAAAAAGGCAATTTTTTAAAAAGCATATAGGTTCACTGTAAAGAATTAAAACCTCGCCTGCCTCTCAATTGCAGTTTGAAACCTGGTACCAAAAAAAAGAAAAAAAAAATGAATCTGTTAATTAAAATTTAAAAATTATACCAAAAAAAGGAATGAAAACCATATACAGTACTTAGAAGATAAAACAGTCACCTGATTTCTACTAGCCGTGAAATCTCAAGTTTTCCATACTGGCGTTCTGCAGTTCTGTGTATGTACACAGACAGGAGGATGTGCGAAGGTGTTCTTTCCGACGTGGATTATACTAGTGTAACGGCAGACTTGCAGTCTGCAGTGTGGCAGCTCTCAGTGGTGTAGCAAGGTCAAGCCAGGAAGAGTGGAGAACCCACCGGAGGTTAGGGGTGGACTGATCAGCCTGGAGCTGGCAGTGAACAGGATTTATATGGGTCACAGGAAAGGTGTGGGGACACAGAAGCGAGGCATTTATCATCAGTTCAGGGTTGAGGAAGCTACATTTAGTTTACATGATTGGATAGAAAAGTACACTGGATACAGACCCTTCTTGAGAGCAGGATGATGAAGGAGGACGTGTGTGAGGTGTGGGGCGGGTGTGAGCTGGGGGTGGCTCTTTGTCAGGTCAGCCAGCCGCAGGGAAAACCTTTTTTGCTCAGAAATCGTTTTCCGGCTCACTAGAGGAAGTTGTTTTTAAAGAAAACAGCAACTTCCCTGCAATATAATGCGCTTACTCCTTTAAAATGTATAACGTACCGTTTCGTACGTTCACTGGCTTGCGCACTCATCGCGCTGACTGGAGCCCATCGTGCTGCCCCAGCGCCGTACCCGTCACCAGTCAGTCCTCACTTCCTTCTCCAGCCCCGGCGTCTGCCCCATTTCTCATTTCTCCCAGCTGCGTGATTAGCTGCACCCACATTCTCCACAGTCTCCACAATACTTGTTTTTTGTTGCTGTTGCTGTACTAGGGGTTCAACCCGGGGTTTTCTCACTGAGTGATATCCCCAGCCCTTTTTTAATTTTTCATTTTGATTCTGAGACAGGGTCTGTCTGGGTCGCTCAGACTGGGCTCAGATTTACATTCAGGCCTCTCTTGACACCCCAGCTGGGGTTAGAGGCCTGCACCACCAGGCCTTACTTAAATAACACTTCTCTCCCCTCCCCTCCAACCCCTCTTGTCACTGACCTACGCCTCCAACCCCTTCTGTTTTTGATTATACCTATCCTATAATCCTAGTGGTTGTAGAGTGGTATGGAATTGCGGCTTTCATTTGTATTTCCATGATGACTAATGCTGTCTAGTGTCTTTTCGTGTACTTATAGGGCGCTGCTGTGTTGTTGAAGTGTTTCATAAATGTCTTTGCCATTTATTTATTTATTTATTTTATTTATTGGTACCGGGGATCGAACCCAGGCTATTTGGGTTTGCTAGGCAAGTGCTCTAGCATTGAGCTACACCTAGGCTTTCCTATTCATTTTAAGACAGGACCCCCGAGGTTACCTGGACTGGTTTGGAAGGTGCCCTTCTTCCTGCCTTTGCATCTATGGTAGTTGGGATCACAGGTGTGTGCCATCATGGCCAGCTGCTGGTCTATTTGTTTTTGTAGTGCTGGGAGAAGACTCAGAGGCTTGTGTGTACCAAGCACGCTCTTCCCCTGCTCTTCAGCCCTAGCCTGGTGTGGCCCATGTAAAGAAAATGATTTACTGAAGTACAATTTATGTACTAATTCACCTGTTTAAAATGTACATTTCAGTGGTTTTTAGCACATTCTTAGAATTGTGCAACTATTGCCCAGTCAGTTTTACTTTATTATTATTATTATTTTTTTTTTTTTTTTTTTTTTTTTTTTTTTTTTTTTTTTTTTTTTTTTTTTTTTTTTTTTTTTTTTTTTGAGACAGGGTCTCGCTATGCAGTTCAGGTTGGCCTTGAACTCGCTATGTAGCCCAGGCTGGCTTAACTCAAGGTGATTCTCTTGCCTCAGCTTTCTGAGTGCTGGTAATAGAGACTTGTGCCTCCAGTCCTGGCTGTCAATTTTAGAATGTTTTCATCACTTCAGGAGATGCCCTAGCGGTCCCCTATCGCTCCAGCTCTCCTTCTGTACTCCCATATCTCCAAGCAGCCAGATGTTTTCCCAGGAGTTTACTTTCTGGATTTGTGTATCTCTCAAGTTTATTGCGTTGTGCTTCTGTAACAGTTTTCCATTAGCATCTGGGGCAGTTCACAGTGTGCTGCTCTTGGTCATTAGCATGAATGTTGTTATGGAACAAAGGCTGGGAATATAGTGTGCAGTTTAAGGGTCATGGCAGGAAGTCCACTTGTCAGTGCATATACTGAGTTATTTTCTTTTAAATTTAATGGTGCTGCACATGGAACCTAGGGCTATGTTAGGCAAGTGCTTTACCTCTGAGCTACCTTCCTAGCCCTTTTTGTTTCATTTTGAGGTAAGGTCTTGCTAAATTGTGCAGTCTAGCCTTGTGATCCTCCTGCCTTAGCCTCGAGTAGCTGGAATGAGAGGTATGCCTCACTATGGCTGGCATATCTACTGTTCTGTGTGACAAAATACTCTTCAGCATCCCACAACTCTGACACTTCTTTAATGGTCTTCCTGCACACAGGTATGTCTTGATTGACACACCTGGACAGATTGAAGTATTCACCTGGTCAGCTTCTGGGACAATCATCACCGAGGCTCTGGTGAGTATTCTAGGTTTTGTTCTTGAGAGTAGCTGAGGGCTAGGCCGCCTTAGTATCTGTTTAATTGCATGGGCCAGTGTGTTGGAAGGAGCTGTATTGGCTCTGCACACCGGGTCTGAAATGGTTCTTCCCTGTTCAGGGAGGTAGAAAGAGAGTATGGGACAGGGCATGAGCCCTCTGACCAAGGCTTCCATTATTTTGCGGTTTTTAGGCATCGTCGTTTCCAACAGTAGTCATCTATGTAATGGACACATCGCGCAGTACTAACCCAGTGACCTTCATGTCCAATATGCTGTATGCCTGCAGGTAACTGGTTATTGGTGGGCAGTTTTCCACCAGGGAATGAGGCCACCTTCTCTTCTCTCCTTTTGTTTTTGAATCCTCATTGTGAATCTTTGGATTTGTGCTTATTCCGATTTGCCATTCTGCTGAGTGGCTTTGAGTTGGAGGTCAGTGGAGAGACACGTGTGCTGTTAGCATTCTCACCAAAGATCAGAAGTAATAACCTTCTGATCATCCTCCCTTGGCTTATTATAGAAATAGGTGGTCTAGGGCCAGATGTGGTGGTGAACACCTATGATCCTAGCACTTGGGAGGCTGAGGCAGGAGGATTGCAAGTTTGAGACCAGCCTGGGCTACAAAGCAAGACCTGTCAAAAACAAAAACAAAAAAACAAAACAAAAAAAGCCTATGAACCTTATAGTAGTTGCTCCCAGTTAAATGAAATGCAAGTCTGATTGGAGTGGTGCTGTAACATGTTTTGATAAGTGAGTGAAATGTTAACATGAGGAACTACTGTGAATAAAAAGGTTTACCTGTTATTCTGCCCTGCACAGATATGCCCAAAGTGTACCAACTGAGAGTTGGGATGTGCCTCACCAGACTGTGTCAGTACATTAGGACTGAGGGATCTGGGCATGCTGGCGCATGCCTGTAATTCCAGCATCGAGGGGGGTAAGGCAAGAGGATTATGACTTTGAGTCTTGCCTGGGCAGCTTAGCCAGGCTGTCTCAAAAAATAAAAAGTGCTAGGACCAGAGATTTAGCTCAGTGGCACCGTGCTTGCCTCTTAAGTATGAGGTTATGAGGAGTTTGATCCCTGGTACCAAAATATAAGTAAATAAAAAGACCTGGATGTAGCTCAGTAGTTGAGTGCCCCAACTTGAATCCCCAGCACTGGAAAAAAAAAGACCAACCGGGAGGTGGTTCATCATGAAACCTGAGAGAACATAGTGCCAGGGATCGAACTTGGGTCCTTTTGCTTATGAGGCAGGCAGCGGCACCACTGAGCTAAATCCCCAGCCCTGAAAGAACTTAATCTTAAGGGTACATGAAAGCCACAACCACCGTTTGTCTCTTGTGATATCAGTGAGAATGTTGTTCCTTCTCATTGGATGCAGGAAAGCCCAATCCAAATGCATATCTCATGACTGACCTGATTATTTCATTTCTGTGTTGTTTAAAGGACAGTTGTTAGCCTGATTGTGGTAATCAATTCAGGGCGTGTAGGTGGATCAAAATGTCCTGGGGCTAGGAGTATAATTCAGCTGTTGAGCACAGGCTTAGCATAGACAGGCTCTGGGGTTGATCTATAGCACTCCAGTGAATGAATGAATGAATGAATAAAATAAAAAGAAGGGAAAGATCTGCTTTTAAAAAAATTTCATTCGGGCCAAGGATTCAGCTCAGCTGTACAGTGACTGCCTGGCAAGCTGGCAAGCATGAAGTCCTGAGTTTGATCCCTGTTACCAAAAAGAAAAAAAAAAAAGTTGCAGTGTATCTTTTAAAAATATCCATTTGTTTAATTATACATCAGTAAATGTAAGAAAAATTTAAAAAGTTTCAGTCTGTAACGACTTTTTCTTTCCTGTACTGGGGATTGAACACGGCCTTTACACTGAGCTATATGCCTACCCCCCTCCCGCTTTTTTCAATTGGCAGAAGGTCAAACTAAGTTGACCAGGCTGCGCTTAAACTTGTGATCCTCCTGTCTCAGCCTCCTACAAGCCTGCTGGGCTTGTAGCCATGTGCCATGTGTGGGCTGTAAAATAATGTTATTTCTCAGCTTCTTGAGGTGTAATTGACAAAAATTGGATATATATACATTGCATATTTTTTGTTTTTGAGACAGGGTTTCACTATGTAATTCAGGCTGGCCTTGAACTCACTAAGTATTGCAAGCTGACCTTGAACTTGCAGCAACCTGACCTTGAACTTGCAACCTGCCTTAGCCTCTGTTACAGGCATAGCCTTATACTACATATAAGGTATTCAATAGATTTTCATTTCTTCCCCTGGAAAAAGGACAACTATTTTATAAAGTATAAAAACTAGGGCCAGTTGTGGTACATATCTATAATCCTAGCACTCAGGAGGCTGAGGCAGGAGGATTGCTGTGAATTCAAAGCCATCCTGGGCTATACAGTGAGGTTCAAGCCAGCCTGAACTAAATAGTGAGACCCTGTCTCCAAAACACTAAAAACAAGCAAAGCCTAAAACATTATTAGTTTACATGAAAATGAGTGTGTATATGACAGATTTTTGTTTTTGTTGTTTCTGTTGGCTTGACATTTTTCAGTCCTTTTTTGCATAGGGACAGGAGACTGAAAACCATGTAAAAATAACTGAGTCTGAGTCTCTCTATTTGGTCCTAGCACACCGACGCCAGGCAAGCAAGGATTTCCATGCTTATACTAATACAGTTTGTTTTTGTTTTTTTGTTTTTTTTTGAGACAAGGTCTCGCTGTGTAGTTCAAGCTGGCTTTGAACTTGCAGCGATCCTCCTGCCTCAGCCTCCCAATCTAATATAGTCTTGATTTTGATTTTCAGCATCCTGTATAAAACCAAGCTGCCTTTCATTGTAGCCATGAACAAAGTAAGTAGATCCTTCTTGTCATTTCAGCATAATTTTTTGGGGGTACCAGGGATCGAACTTGGGACCTTGCACTTGTGAGGCAGACAGTGGAACTACTGAGCTAAATCATCAACTCATCAGCATAATATTTTTCATCAGAAACTTTGGCTGCAAGAAGGTTTGGATGGGTGGTGAGGATTCTGTCAAGTGCTGGAGAGCTTGCTCAGGTTCACTGCGGCAGTCATGGGGAGTCGGTTCAGTGGAATGGCTGCTTAGCACTGACTTTCATCCCAGGTGTTTAGGACAGACGGAGTGGCCCCTCAAAGCAGAGTGTTTTGGTTGTCCTTGAGTCACGGCTGTGTAGGGATGGGAAGGACCACTAATCTATTAGAAGTGGCCATGAAAGAGAACAACAAAACCCAATTTCTTTATCTCTTGAAGTGGAGGAGAATGAGGAAGGCAGAGAAAGAAAATGAAGACATAGATGATGTGCTCTTTGATGTCACCATGTAACTTAAAAAAATCTTGCATTGTTTCTTACATAACTTCATCCCTGGATGCTGATCATTGCCTTTTCTCTGTCTAGACAGACATCATCGATCACAGCTTTGCAGTGGAATGGATGCAGGATTTTGAGGCTTTCCAAGATGCCTTGAATCAGGAGACTACATATGTCAGTAACCTCACCCGTTCCATGAGCCTGGTGTTGGATGAGTTTTACAGCTCACTGAGGGTAAACTTTGTCCGCTTCTCACACTGGTGGTCCTTCCAGGTAGCCTCTGACCCCACAGGACTGACTAATCTAATTAGAAAGGAAGTTTATCACCTTCTGAAGAGTGACTTCTGAAACGTCGCTTACCCATTGAGCCAGTCATGGTCTGGGGAAGTAGTTCAGTGGTGAAGCCCTTGCTCACCGTGCAGCCTGGGTTTGACTCCCAGCATAGAAAAAGAAGACAGAAAACGACAGAGATTGAGAAGATAAATAAGAGCTCCTACCTTAGCTGGCCTCTAATCCCAGCTCTTTGGGAGTCTGAAGCAGGAGGATGGAACACAAGTTTAAATCCTACAACTTAGTGATGTGCTGTCTCAAAATAAAAAGTAAATAAAAGGGTTGGAGTGGCGGGGGGTTTGGCTCAGTGGTTCTGTCGCCTGCCTTGCAAGCGCAAGGGTCCCAGTTTGATCCCTGGTACCAAAAAAACAAACAAAAAAGGGGTTGGGTATGTAGCTCAAGGGCAGAGCACCCCTGGGTTCAGTCCCCAGTAACACACACACACACACACACACACACACACACACACACACACCCTGCCTTTTGAGTGTTTATGATCTAGTTTAGGGTCAGAGGCAGCATGCAGAACTGAAGCACAGATTGTGGTCAGCACCTTAGCAAAAATGATGCCTGTGAAGGGATAATCAAGAGGCAGATTCTCGAGGTGTAGTATTCAAGGGATGCTGTGCAGGAAGGGTGAGATTTATGTCAGCAAATGTGAGTGTGGGATGCAGAGAGTATGTTGACCGCCCAGGTAAGATGTTTGGTTTGGGTTAGGTTTTTTTTGTTTGTTTGGGTCAAGGTCTCTCTGTGTAGCCCGGGCTGGCCTCGAACTTCGGGTGATCCTCCTGTCTCCCAGGCTCCCGAGTACTGGGATTAGGGCCATGCGCCACCATGCTGGGCCAGGTTAGCTTTCCGGGGAGTAGATCATAAGTCCTGCTACTTGTTTGGCCCTAATTACAGCTTTTCTTTTTCAATTCTTTGTGTTCCATAGACTTATTTTCATGACCCACGATGGAGTACACTGGTTTGTTCTGTTTTAACTTTACTTTTCGCCAGAGACTTCTCAAAATATCTATGCCACTTCCATGACAGTTTTATGACATTTGACCAAAATGATATATAACATTGAAAAATATTCACTAGCATCTTCCCTGGATGTTTGGCAGGTGGTGGGCGTCTCCGCTGTTCTGGGCACCGGCTTTGATGAACTCATGGTGCAGGTCGCCAGTGCTGCAGAAGAATATGAAAGGTAAGGCTGAAGGAACCTTATATCGATGGCGTCCTTAGCAGCTACAGTTCTGCTATGCTAGCAAAACATTTAGGTCTTTATCAAGACTGCTGTGTATGTGTGTGCTGCTAACCGATTGTGCCTCTGGAGCTCATGCCACGTATATATGTACTGAACCCGACCACCGTCAGGAGTAGCAAATCTTTTTTTTCTTTCTTTCTATTTTTTTGGTACCAGAGATCGAACTCGGGTCCTTGCACTTGTGAGGCAGGCGGCGGAACCACCGAGCTAAATCCTTGGCCCTTCTTTTTTTTTTTTGAGAATGGGTCTCATTGTACAGTCTAGGTTAGCCTTAACCACACCATCCTGCCTCAGCTTCCCAAGTACTGGAATTACAAACGTGTCACCATGCCCAGCTATTCCATTCCTTTAACCTGTCCAAAAAAATAGAAGTATCAAGCCAGGTGTGGTGGCACATGCATGTAAACGTAGCATTCTGGGAGGCTGAGGCAGGCGGACCACAAGTTCAAGCCCAGCCCAGCCAACTTAGTGAGACCCTATCTTAAAATAAAAAATAAGGGCTGGGGATGTAGCTCAGTGTGAAGGCCCTGGGTTGCAAAACAAAAAGTATCCAGTCCTCACGCTGTAGAATGATGAAGAAGCTGGAGTCATTAGGCTTTGTATAAGGAGCCAGTTTGCAAATATTTTAGGCTCTTGGGCAGCTCTTGACTTCTCCCCTTGTAGGACAAAAGCATTCACTTCTAGTTCGTAAAGAGAAGGACATGGCTGTGTTCCCATAAGGCATTATTTGCACAAACAGTAGGCTAGATTTGGCCCTCAGGTTCATTGTATGATTTGGTAAAATGTTCGGATTCCTGACACATAATAAGCATATTTTGTAGTGAGTGGTGGTTCTAGCTGTTTTCGTAGTTCACAGTGGAATCCGCTTAGCTAGAGGAAGCTGCTCGGGGCCATGGCTGAAGCCTGCTCCTGAGCACGCGCTTTTGGCTTCACATTTTGTTGGACCCTCACCACCACATGGTGGTTTTCTCACACATTGAGTTCATCAGACAAGGTATTTTGTTTTTGTTTTTTTCCTTGTACCAGAGCCCCAGAACAGACTCTAGTCCGTTATCTGTCAGTGGACGTTGCTTAGGTCCTTCATGCATTGGACTTCTGAGTGAAACAGGAAGTTTCTGTCCTTTTCTGTTCACTTTCAGTAAACACTGAGCACTGCAGTCAGTGTCTCCAGTGCTAATCTGCACAGCGCACCAGTCGGAGTTTTACTCTTCCCACATTCTCCAGGTGGGGGTGAGCACCTCGGATTTGGATTCCATACGATAAACTTGCTCAGTGACTCACAACTTGTTACATCAGATGTTCCGTGCGGTCGGATCTGTTATTATTGTCAGTCTTAAGGAAATGGAGGTGATGGGGTGGGAGTGGGCAGGTTGCATGACTGAGCAGAGACAGTTACAGAGTGTTTGTCTTTGCAGGGAGTATCGTCCTGAATATGAGCGTCTGAAGAAGTCACTGGTAAGAAAGCAGACTGTATTTTAGAGTCAGTGAGAACCTGCCTCTGTGCACTCTGGCCCAGGCCCGTAGTCCCGAGTATGTGGGAAGTTGGGGGTTGCAGGAAGGGTCACTTGTCCAGGAGTGTGAAGCCAGCTCAGGCAACATTGCTAGAGAACTTAGCTTTTAAAGCAAACACAGAGCCAGACGTGGTGGTGCACATCTGTAATTCCCGCACTCAGGAGGATCACTGAGTTTGAGGCCATCCTGGGCTACATAGTGAGTTGAAGGCCAGCCTGAAATACCTAGACCTCGCCTTAAAAACAAACAACAAACAGCAAACGCAAAACAATAATCACCTCTAGCCTTCTAACATAAATGCTTATTTTTGGATATCAGTGTGTCCTTTATTGAACTTAATTTTTAAAAAATTTGACACCCTTCTTGAGATATAACTAGTAAAATTTCAGTGCCTGTTAATACCAATTATGTGTGTGTGTGTTCTGAGTAAGGTTCTTGCTATGTTTCTAGTCTGGTCTCTAACTCCTGAACTCAAATGATCCTCCCGCTTCAGCTTGGCTGTTTGGGACTGCAGGCCTGTGACATTATATGTGGCTTCAGTTTAAATTTGGAAATTTGTTTGCATGTTCTCTGTATGCAGAGTGGCCCCTTAATTGTTTTTCCTTCTTATATTGAATTAGCAGCAGTCAGATATTTCTTGTATATACAGAGCCCTTGTTATGCACCACTATCTCTCTTTTTTTGTTTGTTTGTTGTTTGGATTTTTTGAGACAGGGTCTCACTATGTAGTTGAGGCTGACCTGGAACTCATTATGTAGCCCAGGCTGGTCTCGAACTCACAGAGATCCTCCTGCCTCAGCCTCCTGAGTGCTGGGATCACAGGTGTGCGCCACCACACCCTGCTCCCACTGTCTCTCTTACTCCAAGACCTATTTAAAGGTCAGTTGTAGAATTTTAAGAATAGAAAGGTGGCTCACAAGTCTTGTCCCAAGTGATCAATGTCCTTGCTGCCCTCGGTCTGCTTTGGGTCCTCTGTCACTGAGCCTTCTTGCTAGGTGTCTTGAGGATTCTTGGGATATATTTTTCTAATTTCTGACTCTTCTAATTCAGCCAGCAGAGCCCCCAGTGTGACCTTTTGCTATCACCTGGGCTCACACTACTTAGCGTTTCTGCTCCCCATCAGCTATCCCTCATGACCTTCCAGAAGTGTTTGTTTGATTCTTCATCTCTGCTCACGAGCTTGGCACCTAGTCTGGGCTCCTTTTAATTTCATTTTTCAGTGCTAAGGATTGAACCCAGGACCCTGCACATGTCTGGTACATACTTAACCACCCGGCAGGGCTCCCTTGTTAATATGCTGACCCTTTCCCTATATACAGGCCAGTGCCCAGAGTGAACAGAAGAAGGAACAGCTGGAGCACCTTCGGAGGGACATGGGCTCTGTAAGCTTGGACGAAGGGACTGCCAAAGGTATTGGGCAGGCTGCTGGTGTTAGAACTCAAAAAAATGGGCCGGGGATTCAGCTCAGTGGTGCTGCCGCCTGCCTCGCAAGCGCAAGCCCCAAGTTCAATCCCCAGTACAAAAAAAAGGCTATGACAAGAACTCAAAAAAGTATGCTTTAAGGGTATACTTAAACATTTTCTATTAGTGCCTATTTGTTTTATAAAATACTGGGTTTCAGTGGTTTTTTCTATTCATGAATATAACATTTTTATCACATCCATCATCCTCCATTATCTTCCGTTGCACTCTTCACCTTATTCCTTCCTCTTGCCTAATAATAGTCGCTGTTCTACTTTCACGCCATTTTTTCCCCTAGAGTCCACATATTAGGGAGAACATGGTTGTCTTACTGAGTTTGGCTCATTTTGTTTAGCACGATGGTCTGTGGTTCCATTTATTTTTCTGCAGATGACATGATTTTGTCAAATAGCTCTCCAATGTGCATGCACACATTTTCTTTAGTCGTTCATTGGTAGGTGTCTAGGCTGGTTCCACATCTTGGCTGTTGTATATTGTGCCACAGTAAATGTGGGTGTGCAGGTACAGTAAATCTCTGACTTCTGAGTCGAAAACTTTCACCGATATGAATGGACCTTGCATTTAGTTTTTTTATGCTTTACATTGTATATTTGTGTCAAAGGTGTATAAGACTCATTTTGTGAGACTTAGGAACAAATTCAACCTATGAACGTTCTCCTGGAATGGAGCTCATTTGTATTTATTGTATCCCTGTAGTATGCTGACCTTAATTTCTTTGGGTATACCAAGAGGTGGAAGGCTAGGGATTTAGCTCAGTGGTTCTGCCACCTGCCTGGCAAGCGCAAGGACCTGAGTTCAATCCTCGGTATCCCCCCTGCAAAAGAAGAAGTGGTTTGGCTGGGTACTATGGTAATTGCAGTTTTAGTTTTTTTCAGGAACTTCCTACTGATTTGATTCCCACCAGCAATATAGAAGGGTTCCTCTTCACCCTCATCCTTTTGATTTTTTTTTTTTTTTTT